CCCCAAAACCCCAAAACCCCAAAACCCCAAAACCCCTTGCAAGGGAGGATATTGGGCAAGCTAAAATTATTAGAAGTGGTTATTCCAACTCCGGGGATATTCGTAATCATCCTTTTGTATTTTCTGCTTTATTCTCAGCATTTTTGACATCATTTGAGAACATTTCACATCAAAGCTTTCTTTGGAACTTCTCAGAGTTACTTCTTTCTGATAGATCTCCTCTTTGAGGGTTCTTATAGTGCTGTGGCATTTCTGGACTTCCTCTGATAGTTCAGACTAAAAATCAGGAGATATAGTTACATTTTCAACTGAGTTCTTGTTCAGTAATTCTTGCATATTGTTTCTGTCTTCTTCGAATTGTTGGGCCTTTTCTTCCCATTCTTTAGCTTGGTCTTCGTAATACTGAACCTTGTCAAGCAGGGATTGGTTATCTTGCATTATTTGGCTACAGATTAGAAGCATAATACCTTGAAATTTCTGAGATTTGTTCTTGGATGAGCGCTGATAACCTCCTGTTCTCAGTCGTTAAGTTCTGGATTTCTTCCTCTTTGAGCTTGGTCATACAGTCTAAAAATTTTGATGAAGCCTTACCCTTTTTTGTCTTAGTTTGCTCTAATGAAGACTCTAAAGAAGCTATTTTATCTCCAAGAGACTTTTTCTGAGCCTCTAAGCTATGATTCTGGGACCTAAGAACACTAATGAAAGAGTCCTTCTCAGAGGCTAATTTTATTATTTCTTGTTGATGCTCTAGAGTCATTTGCTTAACTTGGTTCTTGAAATGGAGAGTTACGCTTTCTAGCTCATCTTTACACTTGCGAGAACTGACCGAGTCTAGAGGTGTTAATTCAAAGAAGGCTTACTTTGAGAGAATACTTCCATTTCAAGCCTTTTTACAGCCTTTGAGACTGTCAGGAGGGCATTCAAAGTGTCATGTTCATTTTCCTTGTTCTCTGTTTTGTGTTTGTATTTGTGTAGTTTCTTCATTAGCAATTTGTTCTGATTTTTGAGATTCTTTACTTCACCTCATGAAACCTAGATGGGAGTTATGAGAGGTAAATACTGAAAAGTGTTGGGTAAAATTGTTGTGATCAAGAGGATCCTTCATAGTCTGCATTCCTAGAGGGTTTTCAATGTTGGAATTCATTTTGAGAGGATTTGTAGGTGGCTATTAAGGTAATTTCAACTCTGGCCTACCTGATTGGCGCTTAGCAGATCAATGTGTGAGCTAGACATGGCACTAGATGATCTCCTCGGTTCAAAGAGGTTCTTGCAGCTCTTGTTGAAAGGTATAAAAGAACTACTAGTTTTGTTAAACTGACTTATTTCATCTAAAATAATTTGAAAATTATACCAAGGTAGTTGTTGGTCTTTATTTTAGACGGTTTTGGAAAACCATGAGGCTTCTGTTTACATTTTAGTCTTTTAAATTCCTTGTACAGGTCCCTCAGCTGATGGTCAATAGCAAGCTCTAGATCTTTGAGAGAAACCTTCTCCCCCAGAAGAGGTCTGAGATTATCTTCTATTTGAGAAATATATCGTCAATGGCCTTTTGTATCTTTATTTAAACTCTTTTAAGATTTTATGGACTTTTGTGAGGAATTTATGATAGTTATTCCTGTCGCTAGCTCGATAAATTATGCTTCTAAACCACTTTAACACTCAAGGATTAGAACTTTTGTCTCTTTGAAGCCCTGTGACATCTGTCAAGCATTCACTAGAGTATTGATGCTTGGCTGAAAATTGTCTCTTGAAGGAGTTGTGCGGATCTTCCTTGTGTGGAGCTTCTTTCATATCAAATGTAAGCTGGATCTCAGAGTTATCTAGCTCAACTTGTTCAGTCTCACCGTCTAGTTTTTCTAAAATATCAAACATTTTAAATTTGAAATTTCAAATTCGTATAATATCTGTGGGGTTTTGGGGTTTTGGGGTTTTGGGGG